ATAAATTTTCTTTATTGAAAAATACGCAAAATCAAGTTTTTTTAGAGTATAATATTGTAATAATGTCAACAAAATTTTGTTTGTGGATATCACATGTGGACAATGACATAACATTGAAACTTGTCTCATGTCATTGAATCAAATCAAAAGGTTATCCGTTATTATAAATTTGATTTTCAGGGACTAATTTTTTAGCTAAAATTTAGTATTAGAAATGGATACTAATTGTAGGTAAACAGATTAAATGACAATGTATAAATAATAAAATATCAAAATTAAAAGTATAATATTGTAATAAGAACTAGTGATGTTATAATAAAATAATAAGAAATATGACATCAATAGCACAGTACATACGAACAGCTTACGTGAACAGTGAGATGACATGAAAATTTGATATAATGGATAAAATTATATTAAAAGATTATCTTATGCTAGAATAGGTAAAATTTTACAAAATAAAATGTCTTAATAAAAAATAATTTATAAATAAATTATTGTAATAAGTAAAACTAAAATTTTACAAAATAAAAATAGTTGTTGTTTCTTGCATTTTGTCCATTATTTATTTTATTTTATTTCATGGGTTGAAAGCAAAAGGCCCAAATAAAGGCCCAATCCTTGATGCTTGGACCAGGCCCAAATAAAGGCCCAATCCTTGATGCTTGAACCAGGCCCAATCTTCTTACAGGCTCGATTCTCGAACATATTGGTGAGTGTTCTGCTGACTATTTGACCTCCGTTTCTTGTATTTGAAAAATAACTGTTGTTTTTATTGAAGAGAAAAATTCATAAAAATAATTTTAGTTGGTGTAATTTTTATAAAAAAAATTACTGTAGCAAACTTTTATTTATTTATTTTTATTATTTTTAATTGATGATCTATTTATCTTGTAATATTTAATTAATGTCATCGTATGTTACAAAATCAATAAGTTACCTGTTAAAATAAGTTTAGGGACTGTTTGTTTTTTTCAAAATTGTCTCTTAATACCTTCGAAGTCTGATCCGTTTGGATAGAAGAGTGTTTTTTTTTTCCCTTTTCAAATAAGAGCTTAAGGTTGTGTTTGGACGGGACAAAAAAATAGCCTCATGTTTGGCGTGACATAAGACTAAGGGGGTGTTTGATATTGCTTATAAAAACAACTTATTGACTTATTCCGATATGACACCGGTAATAAACATTTTTGAGTGTTTGGATAAACAACTTATAACGGTGCCAAACCGGTAATAAAGAGTTTTTGAATAAGTTGATAAATGATTTTGTAGAAAATCATAAGTTGCTTCAAATAAGCAAATCCCAGACACCCCCAAAGACAACATGGAAGAAGATGGGACTAAAACTCATTTTCATGGGACAAAATTAGAGTTTTTGTTCCACCAAAAGAGGTGGATCAACCTTGGACTAAAGTTAAAATTACTTAGTTACCCTTCAAACAACACAAAATCTAAAACAAAACTCTCCCAAATTTGAAACCTAAAACCCTCCCAACTCTCAAATCGAAAACCTAAAATTCCCCAAAATTCCAAATCCGAAATCTTAAACTTAAAACTCGTTCAAATCGAACTCTCGAGTCAAACTCCTCCTAATCTACTTTTGAGATCGAACTTCTCCTGATCTATGTTTGAAATCGAACCTCAAAGTAAAACAATAAGAACCTGAAAAAAGATGTATTAATGGTGGTTGCTTGAAGAGGATGAAGATGATTGGGTTTTTTTAATGGTCGTTCGGGGGCTTTGGGGGGTGGGTGATTTATGTAACTTATTCTAAGTTTTATGAATAAGTTTATTCAAATATTTAATTGATTTGTGTTATTTATAATTATCACGTAATAAAAAATATTAAACAAGGGTAATCTGATCATTTTAACAATTTACTCCCGTCCTGTCCAGCTTATCAAACGCAAAATAAACAATTAGTCTATCATGTTCTTGTCGTACCAAACACATAACAGACAATTAGTCTTGTCTCGTCCCATCCTGTTCAGTTTTGTCTCGTTCCATCCAGTCTGCGTACCAAACGCTACCTAAAAGCTCTAGATGTTCTCTGAAATTTTAAGCGATAAACGCATCCCTTAATACCTATTAATCCTTATTCTCCCTCTATCAAATGGTTCACATTTTGGGGGTCGGAAGCGATTTGTTAGGAATTTTTTTTATCTTTTATGCTTCTATAAAAAACTATTGATCTTTTATATTTTTGCACTAGTTTGACCGATTCAGATTTCAGACGTAAAAAGAAACAATCTTACTTAGGGCTGTAAACGAACCGAACGTTCAGCGAACCGTTCGTGAACCGTTCGGCGGGA